GAAGCATTCCCGGGAGGGATGATGGCTCCCCCTGTCGGAATCAGAGCCAGAGTCCGACCCTAGACCTTCCATGAGGAGACCGTGGAGGGATTCAGTGATGCTTTCGATCATCCCCACGAACTCGTTGTTCGCGGGGGACGGGATCGTGCGCTGGGCCACAAGGTGTCTTACGATCGCTGCGGCGTTGCGGAGACCGAAACGAAGATGCCGTCGGGGCGCTCGTGTGGAGTGTTCTGGAGAGAGGGTGAGGCGGTGTGGGTCCTCCCTATATGGCTAGGGTCCAAGAGAGGCACCGGGCTGGCGCTCAAGCCTCCGGTAGCCGGAGCCGATGGAGGGGAGAGATTGGATGGTGAGATGGGCCAACACCAACTCTCCTCCCACCGTGACGATGAAGTCCAAGTCACCGAAATGCACATGTGCACTGGGACCCAGATGATTGCATGGTTAGCCATCCGAGGCCTGATTTGGAATGCACAAAGACCCCTACCTGGCGCGTCAACTATCGGTGTTTCAAACAAACACCGGCTAGTAAATTTATAATTGTTGCGCGTTAGGCCCAAATGGTGCACTAAAGGACACAAGGTTTATACTGGTTCGAGCTAAATGTCCCTACGTCCAGTCTGCTGCTGCTCGTGTTATTAGTACCGAAAAGGGTTCGTAGTAGGGGTACAAATGGTCGAGAGAGGGACGGGTCCCAAGTCTCTGATGGAATGGTCGAAAGGTCATCGAGAGCTTAGTCGCTGCTCAGTTGTGTGTGATGTGTGTTGTCGAATCATATCGATCGATCTCTCTGTGAGTTGATTCGTCCCCTTAGCGGGGTGCCCTACCTTCCCTTTTATAGACCAAGGGAAGACAGGGGTTACATTTCAGAGAAAGGGGAAAACCCAGAGGTGAAGAAGCCCTTCAAGGCGCTGGGTCTTCCTTTTCCTCTGAGCTAGCTTCACTGACATGGCCAGATGGTGTCAGGGATTGGCACATTTGTTGGGCGCCTATGTGCTGACGACGCCACACCCTTACTTGATCAGCAAGTGCTCACGTCCCATCCCGCCCCCCGGGTGGCGTGTCGGACAGAGGTGTTGACCTGCAACCCTATGGGGAGCGGACGGACGTGGTGACTGCACGTTCGTCACTGTAGAGGATGCAAGTCTCTTCTTGGACCGTAGTGGTTGTCGTATGTTTATGTCAGGTTCCACGCCCGAGGGCTGAAGGCGGCGCCTACAACACTATTCGGACTCTGCCATGCCCGGAATGGTCTAAAGCGCCCGTCCCGTCGTACCCTGACGGTACTTTCCTGCAGCGGTGCAGGGCATGGTCCTTGGTACCGTGTTTGACTCGAATGTCCTTTCGTACCCTGTGCTTGTCATTATGAAGGAGCAGGGTGTAGTCGTCGGGTGAGGCGGAGTATGCCCTCGGCCGTCGGGCAAGGTGGAGCCTACCCTCAGCCGTCGGGCGAGGCGGGATCTACCCTCGGGGGTCGGGCGAGGCGAAGCCTGCCCTCGGACGTCGGGCGAGGCGGAGCCAGCCCTTAGCCATCGGGTGAGGCGGAGCCTAGCCCTCAGAGGTCGGGCGAGGTAGAGCCCACCCTCGGACGTCAGGCGAGGCGGAGCTAGCCCTTAGCCGTCGAGCGAGGCGGAGCCTAGCCCTCGGAGGTCGAGGCGAGGCGGAACCAGTCTTCCGTCCTTCGGACAAGAAGCACAATAGCATTCTTGTCTAACCAGAAGTGTCAACGTTCGATGGTCATTAGTTCCACCTCATTAGGTACCCCGGTATTAGGTCCCCGACAATATGCGTGCATGAGCTAGCCGTTGATGAGCAACGGTCATCTTTGAAAGGCTAGTACATGTGGCGCACGAGGAGCGATCGGACTCTATGATTGGACTCTAGACTAGACTCTGGACCGGACTCTGCGGTGAGTTCGATCAGCGAGTCCGGTCAGTGCGCAGAAATCAGGATGAAGGGGGGGGGTGTGGCCGTCCTTTAGCACATGCTTAGCACCCTTGGGACTTAGTGTCCTTGCTTGGAGAGTGCTAGAAGAGCCTCTAACTCACTTGTGCACATAGTGGTTGCATCCGATTGCGAGTGAGTGTGATTCTAGTGCGATTGCATCGTGATGTTGCATCAAGTGGCACTAGGTGATCGAGTTGCAAGCCGGTGGTGCTTATTACGCCACCGAACCACCAAGTGAGCGGTCGACACAACAGGGATGTAGCTTAGTGGCAACCAAGTGAACCTCAGGAGAAAATCACCGTGTCAACATTGTCTTCATCATCTTCTCGGTGGTTTGCATTCCGCGAAACACAAGCTTGTATTACTTTCATATACATTGTGCTTGTGTAGTTGCTCTTGTGACTAGTTTAGCTTTAGTAGCTTGCTAGTTGGCTTCTTGCTTGTGTAGCATAAGAAATAGCTCCCTTGAGTAGCTAATTTGGTTTTAGTAACCTTGCTAGTCACATTGCTTAGTTTGTGTAGCTAAGTAATTTGCGCCCTCTAATTTGTCTTGTGTGGCCTTGTTATTGAGCATTGCTAGTAAGTTTAGGTGGCTTTGTGCTTTTGCTTACTAGATTGTGTAGGAGCTCCCTCAGTTGTGTGAAGTACTAGTTGCATAGGTTTGTGTGACCTTGCAAGCTAGATTAGTTGGGTGAGTTCTAGCTAGTCTAGAACCTTAGTTGCTTATTTAGGATCTTTTCAAGGTGCTTGATAACTTAGATAGAGGGGTGTAGTCTTGGCTAGACCGATAGTTTTAATTCCACACTTGTATCGGTTAGCTGGCGCGATTAAGTTTTAGAAAGGACCATTCACCCCCCTCTAGTCCACCATCTCGACCCTACAAATTGGCACCGAGATTACATGTCTCGGCATCATAGTAATTGATGCCTAGGTCTTATGCCCACGCTGGGGCCGAGGTAGACATGGCAGCCAGCTCGGCGTCATAGATCTTGGCGTCGTAGATCTTGATGCCCAGCTTGGCACCTACATCTTTGGTGCCATGCCTGCCTAACGTGTGGCCTCCCTTTCCTTTCTCTCTTCTTCCTCTTCCTCTTTCCTCCTCTCTCGTTCGTGTGACTCTCGAGCCCACCCGCCATCGGTGTCGCACCACCACACTCACGCCTCGGTCCTCCATGCCAACCACTCCGAGCCCAGCCTAGCAAGCCCCCCACGCGCCGCAACCTCCTCGCCCCCCACGCGCCGCCCCCAACTCGTCCCCCGCTCGTAGCCCCAGCCGCGGCGACCGCGCCCCACGGCCCGGCCACCATGGCCTGCCCATCACGCCACACCGTGACCACGGCCGCCCGTGCCGCTGCGTCCCATGGCTTAGCCACCATGGCCCGGCCACCGTGCCGCGCTGCGGCCGCGCCCCATCCGCCCGCCGATCCTGTCCGCCCGCCGACCCTGTCCTCCTGCTCCCGGTGCACCATGACCTCATCGTCGATCCTGTTGTCCGCGTGGCAGGTCTGCTCTGCCCGGGCGCGAATGTAGTCCCTGCTCTGCGCGTCCACGAGCCGGCCCCTCCCCGTCGGCCATTCCATTGCTGCCGCTGGCCCTCAAAGTGCCGAGGGCAGACCTTGGAAAGGGACGAGGGGAGGGACTGGTGTCCGGCTACAAGGCCGTAGCACCTTCCATGGCCGACAAGTTCATCTAGTGCTTTTCGCCTCCAACGCCGTCTGCTCTGTTTGTTGCATTCGTCGGACAGGTAAAATTTGTGAATATGCAATGCAGATACTTAGTTAGCTTGAATTATAGCTCTAGTTTGATTATTTGGTACTTACTAGTAAATGTGATGACGTAGGTAGTTGATTTACTTAATGAGATAGGTATGTAGATAGATACATACATATATATAGTTAGATAGATATTTAGTTATTTAGGTAGGATTTAGCTATTTAGTGAGATAGGTATGTAGATAGTCCATAGTTATTTAGGTAGAATATTTAGTTATTTGCGTGCGAAGACAAAGACAAGGACGACGAGGAGGTGGATCAGAGGCACGAGGAGCTTGGACTATCTCAGCTATAGGACGCTCCCTCGACTCAGCCTACATAGCCTCCAGGCACTAGGCGATGCCGTCCACCTGACCCTTACACTCCAGGCACCGACGCTCTTGGTCACAAGGGTAAGGGTAAGACTAGGAGGCAGTGAGGGTTTGTGATAGAGTTTGTGGTAGATGTTATTATAGACTTTGTGTATTTTCATTATGAACTGTTGTAGACTGTATGGACTATAATTATGGACTGTGTGGACTATTAATATGCTCATGTGTATGGTTTGAGATAAATGTGGCATATATTTGTATGTTTAAACATGTTATATTGAGGTTAAATATTCATGTCATATTTGTGTATGGATTACATCAAAAAATAGGAGAAATTATGCCAAAATTTTCTGCCTAAAGTACATTTGTGCAGTTCAAGACCTCTGTACCCTAGTTTGGTACATGTTCTCACATGTAACTCTAGGCAAATTACCCGCTACCCGTTACCCAAACTCGAAATACCTGGACCCAGACCCAAAAAACCCGAACCTGTAGTGCCCGATGTTTAGTTCGGATAGTGATTCCTATTACCCGATTTTAATTTGGGTAATTCGGGTAACTACACCCGGTACCCAAACTATCCGCAATTTGAGTCAGAGCCCAATAGGCCAAACATCCCCCGTGGCCCAACAGGCAACAACGCAACCTCATTTCCTCACCTCACTCCCTGTATCCTCCAAAATCTAGCCGCCAGCCCTCCAGACTCCAGTTCTCACCTTCTCAGAGTGGTACCGAAGGGGCGCGTGTGGCGACGGCGTGACGCGGAGCGAAGTCGTCGGCTTGTCAATGCCACCCTTACTTCATCACCCACCTCTGCACCTCACTTTGACACGCGACACCTCGCGTCCCTACGTGTCGACCTCGTCGGAGACTGGACACTAGAGAGGGACACCAGCGCCCGGCTACTTGAAGATTGAAGGACGACTACCACATCAGAATCCTCGTGCAATGTATGTATTCCCTAACCCCTATGGCCCTATTCCCCTTTTTTTTTGAATCTATGGGTTGTGGCTCTGTCTCTGCAAATTGCAATGTATGTACTATGTAGTGTAGTGATGTAGTGTAGATGAGTGGATCTGTTATTTGTCTATTTGATATGATCTGTGATTTTTGATAATATGGTGATGCTGATAATATGGTGATTTTTGATATGATCTGTGATTTATGGTTAACAGAGGCAGTGAGGCACATGATTTAGTTGATTTGTTATGATCTGTTGATATGATCTGTGATTTATGATGTGTTGTTATGATCTGTTGATATGATCTGTGATTTAGTTTGATTTATTGTCTTAGTGACTAATTATAGTGCTCTTTTTATTTCTGTAGATGCTAGAACCAGAGGATAATATGGATTCAGTGGGCACTGGCACTCAATTTGATAGTCTGGAGACTCAGGCAATGGTAATGGTGCCAATGTCAGTAGTTGCACAACCATCACTGGAGACTCAGGAGCAAGGTAAAACCGAAGGAACTAAAAAAGTGGTCATTGATGTGGATGAGAAGGAAACTGAAAAAACTCAGAGAAAGGAGTTGGCACCAAGGTCTAAGATGTGGCAACATTTTATCAAGATCAAGGACGACAAAGGACTTTTGAAGGCTGGAAGGTGCAAATATTGCCACCATGACATCAAGGCTGACACAAGGGGACATGGAACATCTGCATTGAAGAAACACTTTGGTACATGCAAATGCAATCCTCATGTTTTCAACAAGGACCCAAAGCAAGGCACCTTGCAATCATGTTGGGGGGAAGCCCCTACCACTTGGAGGTTTGATCAAGAAGCACTTAGAGAAGCCTTTGCTGAGATGGTAATAGAAGATAAGCAACGCTTTTGTTTTGGTGAGAAGCCTGGCTTTAGGAAATTTATGTCCAAAGCATGTCCTCGATTCCAATTTCCATCTAGAAGAACTTGCACAAGGGACATTGTACGTCATTACTTTGAAGAGAAAGCCAAACTGAAGAAGTTCTTCAAAGATTCTTGTCAGAGAGTGTGCCTCACAACAGATTGTTGGACTTCTCAGGTTCAAGATGGATATATGACTGTTATAGCAACTTTCATTGATGAAAACTAGAATCTGCATAAGAAAGTGATAAGTTTTTTTATGGTAAAGGGTCACAAGGGGGAGGATATTAGGAAGAACTTGACAAGATGCTTAGCTGATTGGGGTTTGGATAGAGTAATGACTGTAACAGTGGATAATGCAAGTGCCAATGACAGTGGTGTTGATTACTTGAGGAGGCAGCTTTAGAAAACCAACATTGCCAAGGGCAAGTTTTTGCATATGAGGTGTGCAGCCCACATTGTGAATCTTATTATAAGAGATGGATTGCAAGAAGTGGATCTCTCTATTAAGCGTGTTAGGGCTGCTGTTAGATATATAAAAAATGGGGCTTCAAGATTGGTCAAGTTTAAAGAAATTGCTAAGGAAGAGAAAGTGGACAACAAAGCTTTTTTGAAACTTGATGTTCCGACAAGGTGGAATTACACATATTTGATGTTGAAGGCTACAATTGTGTATGAGAAAGTGTTCTTAAAGTTAGTTGAAGATGACACTAATTATGTTATTGATCTGTCTGAAGCAAGGGATGGTTTTGGGCATCCCGATGAAGATGATTGGGACAATGCAAAGAAGATGGCACAATTTCTACATCATTTCCATGACCTTACTGTCCGTATCTCTTCTTCTCTCCAAGTCACTCGCAACACTTTCTTTCATGAGATTGGAGAAGTCTATCTGTTGATTCAAGAATGGCTGAACAGTGAAGATAATTTGCAAGTATCAATGGGGATGAGAATGTAAGAGAAATTTGATAAATACTGGGGACTTTGGCACACCAACAGCAAGGACAATGACAGGCAACAACAAGAGCAAGATAGGGATAAAGGGCGGAGCAAGGGCAGGGGGAAGGAGAAGGAGAAGGACAAGGAGAACATCAATTTATTCATATTTGTGGCTGCATTCCTTGATCCAAGATACAAATTATCTTTGTACACAAAGATTAGCGTTGAAGAGATATTTGGTGAGGAAAGATGTCAATTGATTTGGGCAGCAATTAATACTTGTGTGAGAGAGCTGTTTGAAGAATACAGGAGCATGTATGCTCCAAGTGAAGAAACAACTCAAGTAATTGATGCTGATCAATCTAAGCGAGGTGCATGAGGAATGCTTAAAGAAAAAATCACCAAGAGGATGAAACTGAGCAATTGTTCTACCAACACCAATAAATCTGAACTTGAGAAATATCTTGCTGAAGAAACTGAAGACACAGAAAAGAAAATGGACATTCTTGGTTAGTGGAAAGTCAATTCAAATAGGTTTCCAGTTTTGAGTCACATGGCTCATGATGTGCTTGCTATACCCATCACAGTAGTGTCAGAGTCCGCTTTTAGCACAGGTGGACGTATCTTGGATGACTTCCGTACCTCTCTTACTCCATTCATGCTAGAGGCTTTAGTATGCATGCAGGATTGGCTTCGAAGGCCTACTGTTGACATAAAGGAGAGTACGGAGGAATTGGCATAATAGAAAAAGGTATCATATTTCCTTACTTTCTTGCATTTGTGTATTTACTGTATGTAATATGAAATATGTAATCTTTGTGCATTTACTGAGTGGATAGAAGAATATGGCAAGCAAAGGGAAAAAGAATGAGCGACCTTCCGTCGGCACCTCCAAGTCACAAACACCAAGCAAACAACAATCAGGCCTCAACTCCCTCCAAAACTTAAAGGTATATATGTCAACTATGAATGGAGTATTCAAGTATTCTTTTGAAATATGTCTTTGTATGTGATTTCAACCATCAATTTTATTGCAGAGTGCAATCGAACTCAAAGCTACAACTAGATCGGATTACTACCACTAGAGTATGGAGGACTAGAGTTCGGACTCTAGACACTCGACTATCACTTGCTCTTGTGTCAGTTGGGTGATGTGTTTCACTATTTTGTTTGAACTTCTGTTCTTGTGTGATGCGTTGGCAGGCAGCAGGCTTGAATCTTGAACTGTGTCTTTGTGACTGTGTCGTGGTTTGCACTTGCATTGCATGTTGCATGTGCACAAGACTACTAAGCAAGTAAGTATCATGTATGTCAGGTCTGAGATGTGACTCTATGGCTATGCAACTATGCCTCTGTCTTTGTGTGTTTACTGTTTGTGATTATCTGCGATTGAAAACTTGAACTTATCAGTTATCAATTATTCTGTCCAGTTCAAATTCTATGCAAATTCTGTGATGTTTGCTGTGATTCTATAATTTCGGGTATATTGGGTATACTCGAACCCGAACCCGAAATTGCGGGTACCCGAAATTGCAGGTACTGTTTTTCCGGGGCTGTTATCGGGTAATACTATTCATTACCCAAATCTCCCAAAACCCGAACTACCCGACCTGAATTATTCGGGTAACCCGAACGCCTAGAGTTACTCACATGTCATTTCATGTGTTGTGCGTGTTAAATTATATAATACTCTATTTCGTTAGGTTTTATTTGCAGTACGTGATCTCATTTCACTACGTCCGTAATATTAAACTGAATATTATGACCACTGGATAATGAAAACAACAACACAATGAAAAGTCTAATACTATGACACATTAAACAACACAATAATACTAGAAGTACATGCCAACAAACTAAATAACGTAGTACATGACCTAAGTATGCCAATACTTAAAGTGCACTACATAACAACACAATAAAAAGTCCAACAGTAGGCAACATTGTTCATGAATAAACTATAGAATTAGCAAGTCAAGGAGACTACTGAGTGCAACGAGACCGCCTTTTTCTTCCTCAGGGCATTGGGATTCTCCTCCATCGTTGCTTTCGCTCGGCGTGCACGCCCAAGCTTCTTCTCCCTCTCCTCCCTGTCAGCAACACACCTCATTTCCTCCTCTTCCTTGTGCTCCTTTACTGCAGCCTCTTCCATGCATCTCTTCTCCATCATCTCCTTGTCCTCTGCCTCCCACCGCAATAGTTTCTGCATCCATTCCTTGTCTTCAGGCTTGATCTCAGTGTCGATCTACTGCTTAAAATCACAGAGCGGTGGAGGAGTCTACAACAAATGTAATTGTTACAAAATAAAAAAATCATGCAAGATTTCATACGACACAAAATAATTATTACACAACATCAATTACTCACCATCTTGTTAATGCGGCGCTGAAGAAGTATAGGCTCAAACGTAAAATTGAAACACATCCAATATCTCTGCCTATATGTGTCCTCTTCATCGGACTTGACTATCTTGCAAGGATCGCCGCAAAAACACATGGGCATTATAACACCACTAGGCAGAGGCAATAGGTCGAAGGCATTTCTGGTCATCCCGCCATAACTACAATTTAACCAATTTCATTCTAAGAATCGAAAGCAATTAACATTAAACCCTAAACCTACGTTTTCCATTTGATCCACAACAATGAACCTATAATATAACAACATACGCTGAGGTTACCTTGGTTTGCTAGCTTTTCCACGCCTTGGCATCCTACGATTGTATAATACAAATATTAAAAATTACATAAAACCCTAAGTAACGACGATTCTTAGGTTGAAAAATTCGACTAATATATACCGAATCGATACGAAAAATTTTTAGGAGGGGAGCGAGGATACCTTGCTCTCGAAAATCTACGGATCAAATCAAAGTTTTCAAGGTCTAATATGCCGATTCGTGAGGTAGGGCGGAGTGGGAAGAGCAAAAATCCAAGAGGGAGGAGAAAGAAGAGGAAAAAGCCTCGGCCAGGAAGGTTAGACGCTGGGTTAAAACACCACCTCGGCGGCAAGCTCGACGCCAATAATCCCGGCGCCAATGGCTCCGCCGCCGAGGTGGCTGCCATGTCACCGCCACGTCTACGTCGACGACGACGTGGCCGAGGAAGCTCGACATGTAATCTCGGCGTCAATTACTACGACGCCGAGCTGAGGGTCTACATTTTAAAACCATACTTTCACGAACATATCTGTGACAAACTTTTAAAAAAAGAAAAAAAGAAAAAATTCGGCGTGTCTGCCCAAGTGCCCATTATCCCCACGTTTACAGAAGCCACAAACCAGCTCCAAGGCCGCACGCGGCGGAATATTTCGGCTGCAGCGAGCTCTGCGAGCAAGCTGAAGTTTTTTCCGGTGCTATTTACGGCAAGAGCCAGTTAGAAAACGTTGGTCCCTATCTGCAAATTAGCAAATATATTCGTGAGATTACGATTTGAGAAAATCCTTATTAGCATATCCAAGTCTAACAAACATGACCGAGGTTTTTTTTATAAAAAATAAGTATCATTATTAGCCAACAATATTTATTTTCATGTTAAAATAGTGTTCCAAACAAATAATTTGATAACATAGGACAGGGCTCTTTCTAGCTCCACTGCATGCTATAGTGCCAAAGGAGACAGAAAATATGGCTTCTCCGGGCGTCTAATTCATTTCACGAGGATAAAGAAAGACAACTCCTATGAATGCTTCTGTGTGCACCCTAACCTTTTCCCTAATCTTAATAAACAATGATAAGGTTAATAATCATTAATAAACAAATAGCTAAGATGAAGCAGTTTAATTTTTTCCATCTCATAATGACGCTCACCAACAACTCAAGTTAGTACAAAGACTATATAAGTCACATGTTCTAGTATTGACAACAAACAAATATATTACAGTATCGTACAAGCACATAATAAAAACTTATTGGTGTTTGGCAAGCACCACATACGCATGCACTTCTCATACAACACTACAGTATCCAATTTTTCTTGCTCATAGAAAGAAACTCAATAAGGGGCTGTTTGGAAGACATGTATTAGGTCCAATACATCTGTAATTTACAGGCCCTAGTAATTTTCCGACGTGCCCTGAAAAACATTGCTTGGATGTCTGGTATTTAGAAAAAAAAGTTACCGGCGGTTTGGCTCATTCCGACCGGAAAAAAATAATCACCTCTCGAGGCCATATTTTTTTTCCGTATCGGGCGTCGCTTGACCGGCGGCAGCGGTCTCCACTCTCCAGCGGTCCTACAGCGGCGGCGACACGAGATGCAGCAACGGGATGCGCACAGCCGAGAGCTGCGGGCTCCTTGGGGGCCACCCCTTCCCACCCGTCGGCAAGCTGGTCAACTCCCATCCCATGGCGATGCATCGCTTAGCAACGGCGGCAGCTTGTGGTACTCCTCGCCTGGATGCAGCGAGGGCGATGGTGGCGGGGACGTCTCCAGACTCCAGATGGCAGAGGCGGAGGAGCAGGCACCGGCGTCCGTGGCATGGATGCCTCGCTGGGCGTGGGCAAGCAGGCACGGGCGGCGGCAGCAGCCTCTCGGGACGCCATGGTCCAGGGCCGATGCCTCGCGTGGTAGTGTTTTTTTTTTTGGTTGACAACAACACATATATTAAAACGATTAAAGCTCGGTATAAAGTTTTGGGATCGAACATCCGAAAGAACAGAGGTGTAGCTCCCTAGCTACCAGAAAGGAGTCAGCAGAATGACTCGAAAAAAAGAATGACGGAAAAAAGCCTATCCCTTGAGCATCTACTGCTCTTGGAAAAGATGATCTATCTTTCTGCGGGAGAACACAGGTGATGATGACCCTATCGGGACGCCAGATCAGAGACATGGCCACAACGGAGACATCGGGGATCCTCATTGGTGCACTCTCCTTGACTGTCTAATTAGCCTGTGTCTACGAGGATTTGAGATCTTAAGCCGTAAATCTTGTTTGAGCTTCACCGGGCTAGCGCCGCTTCTCCTGATATTAAATCTGAGGACCAAGAATCGGCGGTCAACCCGAACACCAGACGAAGCTTCGCCACTTCCATGTTTCCATCCAGCTAAAAAACAGAATCCTGAATAACAGAGAACAATACCAAAATGAAACTTCTCGGATACCGCAGGTGGTGGGCCCCAAGAAGTGAACGTGGAGGTACTCCAAGAGCTTGAATGCGTGTCCAACATGCAGGCAAATGTTGACCAAGCGTAGAAGGCAGGTGTCACCCGACGTGGTCTGCAAGAGACACGGAGAGAGCCTGCATGCGCTGCACGTTGCAACAGCGTGGCGTACAGTGCAGGTGCAGGGCCCCACCACACTGGGCCGCATCGAACATCGCGGCTGCGGATGCCGCGAAGTCGTCGAGACCGCAGGGGATAGGCGCTCCTTCACCATCGCCAACATGGTGGAACTCGTGTCCACCACCGGCAAGGGAGAGACCGCAGCTACCGCGGGTGTGGAGGACGCGAAGCAGTTCGCCGTTGCCGTGGATCTCGCCGACGCAACGACCAACAAGGTCGCCGCCTACACCGTCATCTGTGACGACGAAGGCCACGCTAGGCAGATGTAGGCGGTTGGGCATGTGCTCGAGCGGTGGAGGCTTTGCTGGTTGGGATGTTGAATAGCCTCTGCTCCACTGCTGGCCGCTGCTGAGGCGCCGACTTCGATTGCCGACGCAGCGAGGGGAGAAGGGAAACGCCGCCTTTATTTGGTAGGAGCTCTCCATGAATCCATGGCAGGCGACGCCTAGCTCAAGGAAGAGAGCTAGTACAGCAGCCATGGCGGAAGAACAGCGACAAAGAACTCTCATCTGAAAACACTGGACACAAAGATAAACTAGGTAGAAGCTAATATGTGCACGGGAGACCGGGGCCGGCCCACCTCCCTCCAGCTGCCGGCGAGAAGCCGGAGGCGAAGAGGAAGGGGGCCGGAACAGTGGCTGCTGGAAGAGGTCAGAGAAGGGGGAAGACCGGCATACGCCTGCTACTCACTACGGAGACTACGAACGAAAGAGGACGATGTTCTCGCGTGGTGGTTGGACGCAAAGGAAGGGATGCGGGGCGGGGAGGACAGGAGTTGCCGTGTTCCATTGGCTATGTTTAGCCAAACAATAATTTACATGGGAATGATATTCCGGTTGTTTCCTTGTGCACAAGAAATTACATCCGCAAGCAAATTACAGGTGAAATAATTTACAAAACTTCCATCAGACCTAATATCACTTCACATAGCTCACTGAGATACCACGACTGGGCAGAGCTGATTGGCACCTCTAACTTTTGGGTTTCATCGTCCGGCTAATTACCATCCATCACATATAATTTCACTTCTACACAACTCCGCTTGCAATCACCACGTTCCAGCCATTTCAATTTCAAAGCCATATATAGGGCCACAAAGAACCCATGCATAATCTTTCAACTCGATGGATCACTGTGGGTGAACAGGATTCTGAGTCTGAGGAAAGAACGGGAACTGTAGCTACGATCACCAAAATTAGAGATATTTATTATAGATCGATGTCAGCATGGACTACCAACAGGTATCTCCATCCCTATCACAACTCTTAGTCAATCCACAGCAGAGTTGTAAAAAGAGGGGAGCCAATTAGTAGTCGACAACCACCGTGAGGGAGGAGAAGGACCGTAGGAGTAAGGGAACAAATAGGAGCCTGGAGGAAGCCAAGAACCAGCTCCATAGCCGAAGACCACCCGGAGAGGAGAGCCAAAGCAGGAAAGCAAGTAAACACTTTTCACGTCAACAATCCAAAGACATCAAATTATCCACTGATTTCTCCTACCAGTCGTCCCTATCAAATTTCGTTGTCACCTGCAAATTATCTGGCCAAGAAAAAGAGGAGCTAGAGAAGAGTACTAGCGATGAAAGAAGTTGTTCCAGTGTGCTGAAATGGAGGAGCGAGCTGACCGAGACCGACCAGGCATGGACGAGGGCTTTGCTTCTGTGAAGGCAACGTGCGAGTGCGAGCAGACATGCAGCCCTATTCGGTTAATAGCAATGCAAATTAAGAAAGAGATTGACAGAAAAACACATACAAAAAGCTATCTACGTTAGAAAAAAAGTGTTTTACCCCACTATAACAGATAAACCAAAAGGCATAATGTTTACATCATGTGACAATTTAGAATTGAGGTCTGGACTGAACTATGAATTAAAGATCACATGCTACTGGCCACATTCATTCAAAGGCAAAAAGAAAAAACAAAAGTGACACTTCGCCGAGGGTAACATCTTTCCATCTTTGGCCTGCATAGTACAGTAACGAATAAGAACAAAAGGTTCAAATGAAGGAAAAAGCCTTTTTTTCTTCTTAAAGCACAAATACACCATTTCGTTGCAAGAACTTGAAAAATACACAAATAAGGTCTTGTTTGGATGCGCATGTATTCATCTAAATCCACATGTGTTGAAGTGTATTGGAGTGAAATTGAACTAAATTCCATTCCATTCCACTCCAATACATGTGGATTGAGTAGGATACACATGCATCCAAACAAGACCTAAATATACATCTAGATGTTGTAAAAATGTTTCGTACTGGACCAAGGACCGTGTAATAGTCAAAATTCCCCAATGCCTCAAAGATTAGGCTACAAGAACTTGAAAAATACATAAGTAAATTTGAAAAGTATCAAAACAAGAAAAAAAATACACATACCAGTGACTAGAAGAACCTGAAAAATACACAACTAGACTTAATTTCACAAATGAAGATTGTATATGAACGACACCAGAACAAGAAAAGCGCATAAGAGACATTCAGATCAAACACAAGCGGAAACTTTCAATGCTTTTCTCTTACATTGCCTACTAGCATTGTTACTGTCAGTGCTTTTTAACTTATCCGCCAAGCGAACAAGGAGGCGGTTAGTGAACTATCTGCATTTAAGAACATACTAAGCTACATTTTCAAACTTCTACTAATCTGTCTTACACAGAATATCTCAGAGATGTACAAATTGAGATAAGGTTAACTTATGAATGCACATAAGGTTACTAGTTACATGTGGCTCTTCATTTTTTAATGGCAAGGAGATTCAGAAACTCAACAATCTGCAGCAAACATCTTTTTGCAGTGTGATGTTCAGAGTTAGCGCTTCAGTGAAGGCTTCCTCACCTCTAGAACGGTCCTACTCTCCTACTGATTGTACTGGAAAAAAAGGAGATGGTCTCTTCCTTCAGGAGAAGCAAAATACTGAAGCCTCTTCTTTTCACTGCTTGTATGCTTAACTGTGATAAGTAAAATATTTTTTGAGCAAGCAATAAGGTATTCACTAATAATCACACATGAATGCAATCCGATTCGAAGAAACCAGACATGTGCCTAACCTTGCTTCCTCTTCTCCACTAATGGTGTAGTAATTAAATATAAACAAACGGATAAGTAGACACACGATCACTCAATCTAATCAATTGAGTTGACAAGATCTGCATTCTTAGTAAGTAAGTACCATTAACCTCAAGATTCTGTTTATTTGCTCAAACTGTCACTGATTGCTAACGATTAGTGGGTCGCCCATATCAGCCCGCTCCATCTCAGCGGGTTTAGCTTGCTGGCTTGTGCAGGTTAGCGGCGCAGGCCAGCCCAGCGCCGCTTGCAAGCCTACTCGACGGTAGCGATCCAGCGCCGCCGCCGGAATGGAGCCGGAGCCCGATCAGCCAACGGCTGCCGCCGGTGGGGACCACCGCAAGCATCTGGCCATGCTCGAGCGCCTCTCCAAGCGCTCCTCCTCCTCGGTCGGCGCCCCACCCTCGGACTCCTCTGACGCCTCCCCCGTCGAGGCCTTCCTCTCCCGCTTCGCCGGCGCCAAGCTCGCCGCGGAGTCAGCACTCTCCGCCTGCCGCTCCTCCTCCCCCGAAGACGACGCGGCCGCATCTCTGGCGGCTGCTGCAGCCGCCATCGATGACATCGATCGCCTCATCGCCGAGGCGTCCCACGCACTGCCCCCCTACGAGCTCCGCGCCGCCCTCGCCACCGCCGCCGACCTCCGCGCGGCACACAGGGTCGCCACCTCCGAGCTCCGTCCCAAGAAGTCCTTCTCCTTCAGGAACAAGAGCAGGAATCTCAAGAACCCGCCTCGGGATCATGTCACCACCGCATCACCACAGCAGCCACCTCCTCCGGAGCAGCCGAAGCCTAGTCTTGACGCGATCCTACCAGGGTTCGGGTTCCGGGGCAGGAACGGCGCCACCCTTGTGAAGGATCTGCGAGTCTCCAACGACAAGGATGGGGATTTCACGCTCGCGGATTTGGTTTCCTGCGAGGTCTATCTCAAGGGCAAATGCCGGGCGTTGTACATTCACAAGCTGAGAGATTGCCGTGTGTTCGTCGGAGCTGTCCTTGGTTCTGTGCTTATAGAGGACGTCGAAGGCTGCATATTTGTGATGGCAGCACACCAGATCAGGATTCATGAGGCTAGGGTGACAGATTTCTACTTGCGGGTGAGGAGCAGGCCTATCATTGAGGATTGCAGTGGCGTGAGATTTGCACCATATGTTCTTAATTATGAAGGGATTGAAGAAGATTTGAAGGACTCTGGACTTGAGGAGGAGACTGGTAATTGGGCTAATGTGGATGACTTCAAGTGGCTCAAGGCAGTGCAGTCACCAAATTGGTGTTTGGTTCCAGAGGAAGAACGATTGCAGACTGTCAACATTTCAGAGGTTCATGAACAGGAGGATGATAGCTGAGCTGCTTTGGCAGGATTGCTGTCAGCTCTCATTTTGGTTTGCTTCTCTGGATTCATTAGTTTATTTGTGGTTGTGGGGATATTGTTTCGGTTGTTTAAAGTCGATTGCCTGTAATTGTACCGAGAGCTTTCTGAATTCACAATATGTAGCATGAAGCGGTTTTTGCGTCTCTAAAGAAGACTAGTTTAGTGGTTTGCATACCCAAAATTGATAAGAGCAGAGAGTTTGGTGAGCTAGAAGCATGCTTCATGTTGGGATCCTACTAAATATTTCATGCTTTCTTTTAATTGCATTGATAAAGCTTTTGGCTTCTCTAATAATTCTGGTGATATATTATGTACCTCAAAGCCAGCATCATCCCCTCCGGAAGGTCAGCCATTGGCGGCCACTACATCGTGATTTCTGCCAGCATCATCTCCTCTGCTAGAGGAGGATTCACTAAACAGGACGCTGCATCTTTAGTTTGTATGTTTGCATCTTCGCCATAGTTTTAAGGTTATTCTTACTAATCTTCATACACCTTTAGTTGGTTACTTTGGATTATTAATGTATATGGAAATTGGGAAGTATGTGCTGAGGCCTGTGGTTACAAGAGGAACATAGAATACTTATCACCTTGGTTGCCAACAGGCTTAGATTTTGTGCTTCATAATTTCATTGTAGTACACCTTTTTTTTTTTGAATGCAATGGCAGGAGCTCTGCCTTTCAATTAAGTAAGAGGGAAATAGAGTTTATGTACAAGCATTGTAGTACACCTTAGTGCCTGTTACTTTTGTACCTTACTAAACTTTGTAATGTTCCAGTTACCCTGCGTGAGCAACAGCAATCAACTGTGACCAACTACATGTTAACTCATCAGTTTTTTTTTTAAATAGCTCCTTTACCTCATGCAAACTCAGTGAGAGTACTCATATGTGAGCCTTTCTACACCACCTATCTACTCTGCACCGTCCTCCACTCAGTCCCAGTCCTGTCAAATCGGTGACCTGGAGCGGAGCCATAAAGATGGGCCCTCTAATATAGCTATAATATATACCGTCTCTACCATTGTATCAACTCTTCTATGCATT